TACGTTAGATATTTAGATTGTTTCTAAATTTTTGCTGTTATAAATGATGTGACAACTTTGTTCATTATTGTTTCCTTAAAATAATTGGAGTTTATGGGCAATTTTATTGTGTCAGTGATTTTTTTTTTCTTTTTTGGTAGAGACGAGGTCTTGCTATGTAGCCAAGGCTGGTCTTGAATTCCTAGGCTCAATGATTTTTCTGTTTCAGCCTCCGAAAATACTGGGATTGCAGGTGTGAGCCACCATGCCTGGCCTCAGAGTACATTTTTAATCCTTTTGATTTTGTTTTCTAAATCAGCCATTAGAACTGCATCAACTTACATCACACCTATGGAGACTATTGATGTCTATAGCTAATCACGCACATTTCAGTCTGCACATCAGCATAATCCCTCTCTACTGCTTTAATACATTAGCTGCCTCTATACATTTAACACAGACTGCTCACACAGGAAAACAGGTGTTACTAGTTCAATCACCCAAATGATTTACATTATTGCAAATGCCTGGTTCGTTCCCATTGCCTTTGTCTTTCATCTTGGCTTCATTTCCTGTCTCATCCCTACTCCTTTCTCCTTACATCCTGTCGCAGCTTCAGAGAAGTGCAAGCTCCCAGTCTCAGAAATTTTCTTCTGACCTGCTATCGCTAGAGTTCTTAGAAGCTTAGGGTCCCTACTGCGCAAAGATCTGGTCTTCTTCCTTTAAGCCAGATGAAATAAAAGAAGAATACTAAAGAAGTCTTACAATGAAAGCAGAGGCAGAAAACAGCAAAGAAGAGGAGAAACCTCTACCATGAGCACGATTCTAAGGTAGGACTCATGTATGTGGAAGTTCTTTACACACTAAAACAAAAACATTTAAGGGACATCCTCAGGTGTAGAAACAAGGCATAGAACAGAGTGTAGTGTATGTCACCATTTGCATTTAAAAAAGTCCAAGAATATGTGTGTGTTGCTTGTTTATGCATAGTATATATCAGGTAGCATACAAAAGACCCTGGTAGCTCTGAGGACCCATTAAAACATCCCAGAACAAGGATATAAAAGGATTCTTTTCATTCCCTATCCTTTTATACAGTTTGAATTTTTTTTTTTTTTTTAAACAGTCTCCCTCTGTTGCCCAGGCTGGAGTGCAGTGACGCGATCTCGCCTCACTGCAGCCTCCCACTCCCAGGTTCAAGCAATTCTCCTGCTTCAGCCTCCTGAGTAGCTGGGATTACAGGCATGCGCCACCATTCTCAGGTAATTTTTTTGTTTGTTTGTTTTTTAGTAGAGATAGGGTTTTGTCTTGTTGGCCAGGCTGGTCTCAAACTCCTGACCTCAGGTGATCCACCCACTTTGGTCTCCCAAACTGCTGGGATTCCAGGCATGAGCCACTGTGCCCAGCCTGAATTTTGAACTGTATGAATGTATTATCTATTCAACTGTAGATAAGTGAAACATGTTAAAACTTTTCTCTCATTAGTGAATACCTTGTATTACTCCTTAACTTACATAAATGACGCTTTTCTCTTTAGAACCCACTCCCTGTCTTTATCCTAAATTGTCCTATTAGCATACATAATAAAGGACCCCAGGGACTAAAAGGCATTCTTCTGACAAAATTGTTACTCGTAAATTTCAATTATCTACAGCCTGCATATGACACAGCTCCGTCAGATAAAATCCTTCCAGGTTATCTTCATTTTACATTGGATAATAACTAAGGGTTTGGGAGGGAAGGGCAGCAATTGCTTCTAGGTTTCAAACTAGAGGTAGGGTTAGGGGAAAAACCCCTCAGCTCTCCTTTTTTCTTTTCTTTCTTTCTTTCTTCTTCTTTCTTTTCTTTTTTTTTTTCTCAGAAGGAAGAAGTTCATTATGTTTGGACCACCCACAGCTATAGATTCTAAAAACATTTTGGCTTTTTTTGAAGTGCCTTAATAAAATATAACCCCAAATAATTCACTTAGACAAGTAGTCTTAACAGCAAGGAAAACAAACACTTTATGAAAACAGCTATAAGCCTTCTGTCTTTTATCTTTACTATTTTCTCTGAGTCTGGCATGAAACAGATACACACCAGCCTCCACAGGGGGTTAAATAGAGAACCATCCAAACATCACAGAGTGTCGTCCAGAATTTTGATGACTTCCATTCGTTGATTCTGGTGCAAAAAGCCTGGCTCGGGATGCAGAGACCATGATGCCCCTCCCAGAACAGACATTTCAGAGTGTTCCAGGAACAGCAGCTCATTCCAGCCCCCAGCACAAGATGCACACACGTCTCAGAATGAACCCCCATCCTTTTCCTAGAGAACTGAGCATGAATAGCTTGTTCTATATCTGGCTCCAAGTCCATTTCTGTTCTGTCTTGGGGTGGAGTCTGAGCTCCCAGTTTGTTTTAGGTCAACTTTCAGCATCTACTTCAGCTCACTTGTTTGATTTACTAAGCTCTTGCTCCTGTGTATTATCAAATGTAGGCGTGTAGAGAGAATCAAAGGATCTAGATACCTGCTTTTAGGGGAGATCAGAATACAGCTGGAGGCAGACGCGTTAGTTCCTGGATCTTCAGACCTCAGAGCAAACGACACACTCTGGAGCCTAAACTCTATGAGACACCACAGAGCAGCATTAAATCCAAAGGAGTTTTATGCAGGAAAAAAAAAATACTATGAGGAGTTACATTAAATAATAATAGTATTGTTTTGCATGGGGTTGTGGGCAATTCCTACATTCTTCTTTATAACTTTTGTACTTTTTAAATTCCCTAATGTGAACTCATTGCTTAGTAGGTTTGTAAGCTTAAAAATTACTATCATCTGGAATCTCATTTCAAAAAATCTTTAAAATGGAGACAAGAGTAAACATTCTTAGCCCCTATGGAAAAATAAAATGAGATCATAATCATACAGTGCCTGGCATGTTGCAGTCACTCAATAAACACTGCTTTCCTCCCCACTGTCCTCTTCTTTATGCTCCTTTTTCATTATAAGGTCAGCAGATTGGATTAGGACCAGCTGGGAGGGCTACTTCTATGAAAGAAGATCTATCCACAATCATGGTTTTTAATGTTCAATGCACCAGAATCACCTCAAGGGCTTGTTAAAACAGACTGCTGAACACAGCACATCTATGAGAATGGCCAAATGCTGGTGAGGGTGTGGAGCAAGAGAAACTCTCATTTACTGCTGGTGGGAATGCAGAATGGTGCAGCCACTTTGGAAGACAATTTGCCAGATTCTTACAAAATTAAATGTACTCTTACTATACAATCCAGCAATCACGGTTTGGTATTTACCTAAAAATGTTAAAAACTTATGTCTAGACAGAAACCTGTACATGAATGTTTATAGCAGTTTTATTCATAATTGCTAAAACTTGGAAGCAACCAAGAAACCCTTCAGCATGTGAATGGACAAACTGTGGCACATGCAGACAATGGAATATCATTTCATTCAAATGAGCTATCAGGTTGGTGCAAAAATAATTGCAGTCTTTGCCATTATTAATACTGTTAATTGCAAAACCTGCAATTACTTTTGCATCAACCTAATATTAAATCATAAAAAGACTTGGAGAAAACTTAAGGGCATATGACTAAGTGACAGAAGCCAATAGGCTATAGACTATATAGTTACAATTATAGGAAATTCTGAAAAAGACAAACTATGGAGACAGTAAAAGGATCAGTGGTTGCTAGAGCTTAAGAGCGGGGAGGGATAAGTAAACAGAGCACAGGAATTTCAGGGCAGTGAAACTGTTCCATATAATACTACAATGGTGGATACATGTCATTAATTACACATTTGTCCAAACTGATAGAATATACAGCACCAAGAGTGAACCCTTAATGTAATGTATGGACATTGGGTGATAATGATATGTTCATGTAGGTTCATCCATTGTAGCCAGTATACCACTCTGGTGGGGGATGTTGATCATGGGAGAGGCTATGCATTTGTAGGGGCAACAGGTGTATGGGAAATCCCCGTACCTTCCTCTCAGTTTTGCTATGAACCTAAAACTGCTTTAAAACATAAAGTCTTTATGAAATAAATTTGTTTAGGAAAAGAAAAAAAGCAGACTGCTAGGTCTCACCCCTAGTTTCTGATACAATAGGTCTGGGGTAGAGTCTGAGAACCTGCATTTTTAGTAAGTTCCCAGAAGATGCTGATGCTGCTGGTCCAGCAAGCATACATTATTGGTCCAGAGAACACACATGGATCTACAAGATCCACAACAAAAGTCCATATCAAATTAGTCTAAATGTAAGTATCTGGTTGCTTCTTTCTTGTTTCTCTGTATTTCTTCCCTACCTTTCTTCCTTCCTCTACCTCTCACTTTTTTATCTTCATATTTGAGGGTTATAGAAACCACACTATATTTCTCACCTCTGTTCTGACCTCTCTCAACAGCTCAAGTCTCTTCTTACGTTAAGAAACTAGGAGGGAGCAATGATGTGGTTTTGTGTTGAGTATCTTGTTTCATTCAGATACTGAGAAAAAGAGAATCAAGCATCCTCTGGGTTGTTTGCTAATCTGAACTGATATTGTCTATTCACAATAGAAAGTCTTTTTGATGACTGATGCTTTTAAAAAAATTGGAAACCCTATAAGCTCCCCGTTGCCAAACAATATTTTTGACATTTTAGAGTTTGTTTAATCTTTTATCAACATAAATATTTGAAAAATAAAACAGGAAAATGGCTAAGGAAAACATTTCAGATTGGTGCTTGGAAGGACAGATCAAGTTCAGTCTGAAGCCTATTAAAGCCCTCCTCATCTTTCACTCAAAAACAGTGTCTTTTCTTGAGGCCCATGAGCCCACTGAAGTTGGATACAAAGTGCTGTGTTTCCTTAATGTGCATTTTTCTGGGAAGAAGTTTATGGCCTTCAGTGGATTTTCAGAGGGATTATGACACAGAAAAGATTAACAAATACTGCCATGGGGACGTGCTTAATCAAAATTCACATCTTAATTTTTCCATAAAGAAAGGAAATTTCTGAAGCGATAGTGACGCAAGATGGCAGCCACCACGGGCTCGGGAGTAAAAGTCCCTTGCAATTTCCAACTGTTGGAAGAACTTGAAGAAGGCCAGAAAGGAGTAGGAGATGGCACAGTTAGCTGGGGTCTAGAAGATGACGAAGACATGACACTTACAAGATGGACAGGGATGATAATTGGGCCTCCAAGAACAATTTATGAAAACCGAATATACAGCCTTAAAATAGAATGTGGACCTAAAAACCCAGAAGCACCCCCCTTTGTAAGATTTGTAACAAAAATTAATATGAATGGAGTTAATAGTTCTAATGGACTGGTGGACCCAAGAGCCATACCAGTGCTAGCAAAATGGCAGAATTCATAGCATCAAAGTTGTCCTGCAAGAGCTTTGGCACCTAATGATGTCTAAAGAAAATATGAAACTCTCTCAGCCGCCTGAAGGACAGTGTTACAGCAATTAATCAAAAAGAAAAACCACAGGCCCTTCCCTTCCCCCCCATTTGATTTAAGCAGTCTTCATTTTCCACAGTAGTAAATTTTCTAGATACATCTTTTAGACCTCAAAGTACTGGAAAGGAAGCTCCCATTCAAAGGAAATTTATCTTAAGATGCTGTAAATGATACTAACTTTTTGTCCATTTGAAATATATAAGTTGTGCTATAACAAATCATCCTGTCAAGTGTAACCACTGTCCACGTAGTTGAACTTCTGGGATCAAGAAAGTCTATTTAAATTGATTCCCATCATAACTGGTGGGGCACATCTAACTTAACTGTGAAAAGACACATCACACAATCACCTTGCTGCTGATTACACGGCCTGGGGTCTCTGCCTTCTCTCCTTACCCTCCTGCCTCCCACCCTCCCTGCAACAACAGCCCTCTAGCCTGGAGGGCTTGTTAGAGTAGATGTGAAGGTTTCAGGTCGCAGCCTGTGGGACTACTGCTGGGTGTGTGGGGTGCTTTGCCTGTACCCCTGGTTTCTTTAAGTCTTAAATGATGCCCCTTCCAAGCCATCATCCTGTCCCTACGCTCCTCCACTCCTGCCCTTGGCCGAAGCATAGATTGTAACCCCTCCGCTCCCCTCTGAGATTGGCCTTCGGTGAGGAATTCAGGACTTTCCCCATATCTTCTCTCCCCCACCTTTATTGAGGGGTGCTGCTTTTTCTTCCCTCCTCCTGAAGTTCCTTTTTGCCCCATCACCACCCAACACCTTCCATGACACTTCCTTGCTTTGGCCAGAAGCCACGAGGTAAAGTTGGAAAGAGTGTCTGACCGCCCTTGTTTAGTTTCAGAACCATACTTTTTCACTCTCCACCAGCCTGGGAAATGAATATTGGGTCCTCAGCCCTGCCACCCTCTGCTGTCATCAGCTGATGCGTTGTTTTTAGCTCAGGTTTTGATAAGGTGAAAAGAATAGTCACCAGGGCCACTCAGACCTGCCAGCTCTCAGAGTCCTTGGTGGTTGAACTCGGAGAAAGACCACGTGAAGACACGTGTAAGCACACATGATCCCTCTGAATTGTTTTACTTTACTGTAATTGCTTTTGCTTTTAAAAATTGAAGAAGTTTTAAACAGGGCTTTCATTTGGCCATCCTTGCAATCCATTGGGGTCTAGTTTGGAATCTGACAACTGGAACAAAAAGAACCTTGAATCCAGTGCATGCCTTGGTTTTGGTGCTGCTGCTTCTCAAGATCCTCAGCAGGGATTAAGAAAGAACCCGGTGTGCACAGCAGATCCCCGAAATTGGCGCATTTGACCTCCTGGCAAATTGCTGCGTCTTTCCACTTTCTGTTCAGGACCACTAAATGCTGAAATGTGGATGCATACCGAAATAAAAGCAATTCATTGTGTAAAAAAAAAAAAAGAAAAAAGAAAGTAAATTTCTGGTATGGGAGCATGGGGTGGTGAGAGTCCCGTTGAAAGAGGAGTGAGGCACAAACACTACCGGTGAGCTAGCAAGATACCACTGTCTCAGCCTTTCTCATTAAAATAGAGAAAATAAAAAATGTTTTCCTAAGTGAGTTCTTATCATGTTTAATGAGAGGTTTGTAAGGTCCTTAGCATAGTACCTGGTACATGATAGATGCCAACTAAATGGCAACCAGTAACAGTGAAGTCCTGCTTGCTGTGCGTTTGTCTTATGTTGTCTTATGGTGATCGCTACACAAGAACTAGAAGCAAAAATCTTTGGCATACCTTTGATTGGAACTGAAGGATCAGTGGTCTCTCTCTGTGAGATAGGGGTTATTACCTTTATTTTACCAGTGATGAAACTCGGGTTCATTTCCAAAACGACTTGGGGTGGGTGTTATTTCATGTTGCATTCACTTTTTAGAGTCATATTTTCTGCCAGTGAAGTTGAATCATATCATTGCATACACATACCAGCATTTTACCCGTGTGTCTTGCAGGGAGTATCATGATTTCCAAGCACTCAACCTCTGAAGGACTGGTCAAGATGGGATCTTGGAAAACATCTTGGCAGGGGCTGGGAAGCATTGATGGGTAGTTTCCTCCATGTCTTTTCATGGCCTTGTCTGGTTCTCAACTCTGTGCTCTGCCTCTGAATCACTGCCGCGGCGAGAAGTAATGCTCATCCCCGCTGTGTCATGCTCCCTAGGAATTAGTTTTGTACTTAAGCAAAAACTTGGCTAAGAAAGTGAAAATATAACATACGCTTATGCACAAATCAATAGCACACACATACCACTTAAAATATTTTGTTTTCTGAAAAAAAGTGAAAACAGACTCCAAATTAAGATAATATTTTAACTTAACTTACACTGTTGAGGTTGATGATAACACTCAGCAGAAATGCTTACTGTTACTCCCAGCTAATTAGTCTCTTGTGTTTTTACAGTTCCTCCTCTCAGCCAAGGACCTCACGAATGGAGTAGTTAGGTCCTCGCTACTCAGCATGTGGTCTGTGCACCAACAGGATTAGCATAACCCGGTCACTTGTTAGAAATGCAGACTCTCAGGCCCACCACAGACCAGCTGAGCCTAAAATGTAAATTTTTTTTTTTTTTTCCCCCATGTATTTATTTTATTGCATTTTAGGTTTTGGGGTACATGTGAAGAACATGCAAAATTGTTGCATAGGTACACACGTGGCAGTGTGATTTGCTGCCTTCCTCCCCATCACCTACATCTGGCATTTCTCCCCTTGCTATCTCTCCCCAGCTTCCCACCCCCCACCGTCCCTCCCCTATTTCCCCCCAACTGACCCCAGTGTGTAGTGTTCCCCTCCCTGTGTCCATGTGTTCTCATTGTTCAACACCCGCCTATGAGTGAGAACATGCGGTGTTTGATCTTCTGTTCTTGTGTCAGTTTGCTGAGAATGATGGTTTTAATAAAAGCTTCAGGTCATTCATATCCATATTAACATTTAAGAAGCATTGGTTTAGGTAGCCAAATACTTTCTGCTGAGCACATTTCCAGGGCATGGAGATAGCTTTCTGTTTATTGCCATTCTTCCTTCCAGTACATTAGAGGGTCAGTACCAGAGCACCTCTCTGCTCTCTAGAATCTTTCTTCTCCTCCTCCTCCTTCTTCCTTCTCTTCTCTTTTTCCTCCTTCTTCTTCATTAGAGACAGAGTCTCACTATGTTGCCCAGGCTGGTCTTGAACTCCTCAGCTCAAGTGATCCTCCCTCCTTGGCCTCCCAAAGTGCTAGGATTAGGCTGGGTATGGTAGCTCATGCCTGTAATTCCAGCACTTTCAGAGGCCAAGGCGGGCTGATCAGTTGAGATCAGGAGTTTGAGACCAGGCTGGCCAAAAAGGCGAAAGCTCGTCTGTACTAAAAATACAAAAAATTAGAGGATGTGGTGGTGCACACCTGTAGTCCCAGCTACTCAGGAATCTGAGGCAATAGAATTGCTTGAACCCAGGAGGTCGAGGTTTCAGTGAGCCGAGATCGTGCTCCTGCACTCCATCCCCCGAATAAAAAAATACATAAATAATTTTTTTTTTTTAAAAAGGTAGTAGGATTACAAGCACAGGCCACCACACCTGGCAAACCACCCTCCTCCTTCTCTTTTTGTGGCTTCTGTCTCACTGAAGCATCCAAGGATGTGTCCCACATTGATCAAGATTGATTGCTACCCTCTCCTGAAAAGCCCAGAGCCAGCAAAATCAGAAGCCAGGCAGAAACAGTTCTCCATTCCACCAAAATTCTTCGTTGTGGGCACTAACAGATAAAATGTAAAGGCTCTACTTCCCAATAACAGCATTCCTAGAGCAAGTTTTTAATGACTTAAAATGAAAGAAATTGTTGCTCAGGATTCTAATAGGAGCATGCTGGGGGAAAAAAAAAAAGGAGAGGTTAGGAAGTGATGCAAGCAGAGAGAGATGTATTTAAAATAGAAACACTGTGGGCCTTGCAGGGACACTGTTCTATGTATAGGTAAGCCACTTACCTAAGAATTTCTGTGTGGGAAAGTGCCGTACCCAGTTCCACAGTGATGATTTCCAGAGAGCATGCTTGCATTCCAGTAGTGAATTTGAACCCACTATTGGCCAAGAGCCAGCTGACTATGTGGATCCTGGGACTGTCATTTCAATATGTGTCCCTGTTTTAATGGTAGCAAGTATTTGCTGTTAATCAGGCATAGTAAGACATGCAGACACGGAAATGACTGTCCTGAAGAAAGAAGTTTTTATGCTCACAGATCCCTAGAAACAGGGAGCGCAGCAGGCTGCACAGGGCCACATAGGCAGCATTCAGGAGGCGGAGGGAGCAGGAAAACATGGGCAAGAGCCTTTATTGTGGTTTTCATAGGAAGAACCAGGGCGAGGCTGAGTAAGCAGGTTCATGGCAAACTAGAACACTTTCAGTGAGCTCTGGGTTATGAGAGCTGTGGTGTCTAGCTGCCTTGCAGCTGGCCCTGGGGCGATTAGGGCAAGTTCCGGAGTATAAGAGTCCTGGGAGGGTTCAATAAAGGAGGTGTTTGTGGATTTGGGCTCTGGATTTGTTGATTTGGGTATGAAAGGCGCATTCACAGGCTAATTGCTTTCTCTAGTAATTAGCTAACGTTGGGAGGGGCAGTCTCTCCAGGGTCCGCAAGGCCTGAAAATATCAACACATCAGAAATATAAAAAGGCACAATTAATACTGGCCTAACTAAATGGAATGAGTCTTTGAAGCCAAAGTCTGCAAAAGTTCAGTTCTCTTTCCAAGCTGTATCTATATATACACAATCGTTCTGACCATTTTGAGGGAAGAACTAAAATTCAATCCTGTAAGCTATGCATCTAATGTACATTTATTAGCGGATAAACTGAGTAATCATTTGGGGGGTGACTAGGGAAGGTTGCATTAGTGAGCCCTAATTTCATGCTGTTAGGGGTATCCAGTAACTATCTCCAAGAAGGATGGGAGCTGTGGTTTCTGTTGCTATTATTATTAAAATGGTGTCCTGGCTTGGGAACAGAACAAATGATGGCAGCTTCCCAAAGACACAGGGAGAGAAAAAGCAGATTGAGTCCCTGAGGGTAGAAATCAAAAAGAGGACCTTGTCAGGGGTCAGCCTTTGACGTGAGGAGCCCTGGGATTCTGCAGGAGGAGGTCCAATGGGATCTCCTCTCAGACTCAGGGGGGTTAAGTGATATGACAGAGGTCACAGAGGAAGAAAAAGGCAGATCCAAACCCCAAATCCAACTCAGTAGGCTTCTTAGCCTGGAGAAGTCCAGGGTAGTGTTTCTCAAATTTTAGCTGCTTCCGAATCACCCAAAGGGCTTGTTAAAACAGAGTGCTAGGCTACAGCTCCGGTGTCTGGTTCAGTAGGTCTGGAGTGGGCTGTGAGTTTGCATTTCTAAGTTTCCGGGCAATGCTGATGCTGCTGGTCCAGGAACCGCACTTTGGGAACTCCTGCTCTATAAACTTCCCCGACTAGATAGAGACAGTTCTAATACGGCTTTCCTCACAGGCCATTACCATGTTCCTAACTCCTAAAAATGGCTTGTCTACTGGACTATAGCAGAGTAGTCGGGACAGGAATGGTCAGTGTTCAAATATCTCCTCCCTCCCGCTTTCCTTCTCATCTTCCCCTTCCCTGTTTCTCACTGGGGAAAGATTTTGGCTTAACAGTCAGCTCCCAGGTTCTTCCCTAAGATGTTGAAACCTCCAACTAGGCAAAACAGGAAATAAAGAAAGCCTGAGAAGCTAAATTGCTGTAAATTAGTCGAAAGAAAAAGAAATCGAAATATTAAAAATCCACTTTGGCTAGGCATTGCAAAGAGCCTTGGGGCAGAATTGAGGGTAGAGTAGAGCATGAGAGGCTCGGAATCACTGCAGGAGGTGAGAGAGGAGGAAAAGAGAGAAGAAAGGTTCGCTGGACTATGGCCTAAATGTTATTCATAGCCTTCAACAGATACAATTAGAGATTGAAGTGATTTTTACTCCTGAACTGTCTCTTTGATTGTAATATCACATGAGTCTGGGTCACAAGGGTTCTAGGACTAATGTGGAACACAAAATTGGTCTTAGAATAGTGGTGATGGCTTTATTTTATTTAGTCTAAATAAAGCCCTCCATTCCGTATCAACAGATGGCAAGAAAGCCAGCTAGAAAGGCATTATCAGGATACCCAAGGAAATACAAGAACACTAATGGTGCACATTTAATTTTGAGTCATTTAAAAATTCTTACTAAGATTCTTCTTTGTTGCCTCCAAACATTCAGTACAAGTTTATTATTACAGAACAGCAATGTCTTGGAGAATGTGGAAGAAAGTAGTGTGCCTGAATTGGGAGCCAAGTGACAATGAAGAGGACAGCAGCTGGTGAGGGCAGTGATGCAAAGAGTAGAGGAGATGGAAATGAGACCAGGAGTGGAGATTTGGAGTCAGCGGTG